ACTTGCTTGCTCCATGCCAGCTTTCCTCTTTTCCTCTTCCCCCCTTCTCCGCTTCAAGTCTTCCCCCTTCCCTCTCCTTCTTTCTCTCTTCCCTCCCTCTCTTTCTTCCTTTCCTCCATCTCTTTCTTCTCTGTCCCTTCCTCTACCTCTTTTCGCTTTTTTGCTTTCTTTCTTTTTCTCTTTTCCCTCCTCTCTTTTTATTTCTCTTTCTGTTTCATTCCCTCCTTCCTCTACCCTCTCCCCTCCCTTCATACCCTTTTTTGCTTCTGCTCCACCCTCCTCATTTCTTCCCTTCCTTCCTCCCACAGAGATCCTCACTCCCCCCTTCCCTCCTCCTTCTCTCTTCCCCACTCCCTTCCTCCTTCCTCCCATCTTTCTTTTCTCTCTTTCCTTCGCCCCTTGACCCTCTCTTCCTTCCCTCTTTTCATTCATTGATCCATCCTTCTCCCTCCTTCCCTTTTCCGAATGACCCTTCTTCCTTCCTACTTGCCTTACCCAAGCTAATACAATACACCACCAGTAACAGAACCAGACAAATCACGTCCCGTCTTCGTACACACATTGACAAAGTTTCCGCGGATCTCATTGCCAGAGTAAGCTTCTTCCCTTCCGCTCCTACCTCTCTACCTTGCGTTCACCTTCGAGACTTGCTTATGCTCATGCCATTATGCAGTGGCACGATGCTAGACATGGAAAAGGGGCATATCTCACTCACACTGTACTCTGTTGTGGAACAGCTTGTTGCAACGGGGGAGGTTAAACTCATTTAATGTAAATTACCATTGTGTACTACAATTCATGCATTCATGAACAACTTATCACTTGAGACAGCACCGGATATGTAAGGCTAAATAGCCATCAACATAGCCTTTCAAAACTTGAGAATAGCAAACGTGCCATGTAGGGTAAACATAACAATAAGAAAATTCTCAATTTGGTGAACAATAGAATAAACGGACATATCAGGCTAGACAGAGTTTATCTAATTGTTCTTTAGGTAGTCAGAAATTTATTGTTCACTGTGAACGATATGCATAGTGGTCACCATATTCAACATAAATTGCCACCTATGGAGGCTGATCATTTTTTACATCATTGTTTCAATATGATGAAAGGCATGAATTGATTACATATTCCAGGTCTGCTCCTGCATCTTATCCTGAATATGATTGAAGTTGTTGAGGATTAGAACCCTACACATGTACTCTCTTTATTACTATTTACTAACACCTTCATTTACTTCCGTACTTACTATTTTTCTCGCTCCTTTCCATTCCTTGCACCTCAGTTGTTTACTCCTATGTGTAACCACCTGAGGTGTGTATTTCTTTACTCATGTATCTTCCGATACATTACTTACTTATCTCTACCTTAGCTATCACTTACCGTCTTATCTTAACAGGTTATGGGCCCTGCTTGCTCCTAAATTATAAGAAGATTATCAATTACACACATATCCCCTATCGACTCAATACAAGAAACTTTCTACAATGTCTGGAAGTCACAATATCTCAATCCCTTTCTCCTTGCCTGAGGATCAGCACTGCCGTGGTTATGAAAACAAATGCGAGCTGGAAAACACTAATGATCGCTCATGGGAAACCCCGAGGATACCTAAAATATTGGGAGAACAAAATCATTGTCCCCCAGGAGATACTGGATGCAGAGAATCCGTCTACTGATCCAAAAATTTCCCCCCCCCGACTCTACAACCAAAAAACCACCAGGTCCTACTCCAGCCCACTCCATAACTCCATCAGAACTTGAATACGAACTCCGCAAGAGTGCCTTGATGTTGTCAATCTTGATCAATCTGGTAGATATTGCTGGATACAGCATTAACTCAAATGGGAAGTCGCATGAGGCCTGGACCCTGCTAGCCAAGCAGTATGGTGGCGCAAGCGATAGGGCTAGAAATATGTGGGAGAGAGCGTTAGCAAACTGCAAGTTTGAAGAGGGAATGAAGGTTGCAGGGGAGAATGGCCATATCAAGAAAATGCGCGCACTACACAAGGCCGCTAACAATGTTGGTGCTGAAATCACTGACATACGCTTCATCACTAAACTCCTCGACTCCTTCCCCAAGTTTTGGGACCCCATCATATTGAATCTTTACGATAAAGAGGATTTAAGCGAAGTAATCATGAAACTCACCTCACACGGGGAATGTCTCGCCAATCGCGCATCTGAAACCACTAAAACAACTAATCACGCATTTGATTCCGTCAAAGCTCTGGAAGCAACAGTCCACACACTGCAGGCTGAAGTGAAAACCCTACGAACAAGGCCTGGAGGATCATCTAACCCAAATAAGTCTCACCTTGTATGCTCCAACCCTTCATGCAGAAAGACTGGACACTTGATCCCTGATTGTTTCCAAATGGGAGGTGGGAAGCAGGGACAATACCCCCCATGGTGGAAAGGGAAGCGGACCATTTCGCCTATCGCAAATTTGGTGTTCTCGTCCTTGACAATAGATGGTACAATAAACACTGGTCGACACTTCGCCTTATCGGCAACATTCGACAACAGTGAGGATATAGAATTTTCTAGCCCAAAGACTTTATGAAGCTCATAACAATAGCAGGGAGACTGAGTGTTCAAAATATCTCTTCCTCAAGTTGTGAATTGCTTCCAGTAGGTTGCAGTCATTCAGAATTTCCCATTTTTGGGAGTTGTCATAGTCAATGCCCTGCTGTATCCTGAGCTTTTATTCGTTCATCTCCAGACTTGGTATATACAATCTACATGTCCTTAGGTATGCTTCATGCACCAGAGTTTAGTCCTTAAAATGTTTGGTTCTTGTGTTATGGCACCAACTTTGTCCAAAAAATCATGTGACATTACTTTTGATCAGTGAGTGTATATTCATGATCCTGTTCATGATATAGATCAAAAATATCCTGGTTCAAGATATAGTTGAAAGATATATCCTGGTTCAGGATATAGTTCAAAAATATATCTTGATCAGAATGTAGTTGGAAAATATAGGATATACAGTCATCCACCCACCAATGATACACCACCATCATTTGATACACTTTTGACCAACTAATATCTCACTCAATACTACATAAATCTTTGTGAAATAAATTGTAACGTGCGCTACAAGTTCACATCTACCGTAGTACAAAATTTGGGAACAATTGAAGCAGTATTGGTGCTGCTGTGAAGTTTTCAAAACGGACTGTTTTTGGAAATTGCTGCATTACTGTCACACCACCCAATGATACACCCATAATTTTGACTTTTCTTCCTGCATTCTAAAATTTGGCAGGGTTATAGAATGTAATTTATCACTTCAGTCACCCACTGACAACTGACTATTAGTCTTGCAAACTCCATGAATACTACAGGACTAAATGTCAGGGTGTATATCTATATTGTATATATTCTGGGCTTGTATATCTCCACTTTTACCTAAATATATTTTGTTGTCCAATGTCACACTAAATATATTTCTAGTGTGTCACACACCCCAGAATATATTTCCTCACTGGAATGGACTCCAAATATATTTCTTATGCCTGGACCCTGAATTGTGACTGTCACAATGTAGAAATATATTTCTTGTCTGGGATGGACTTGGGATATATTTTGCAGCTATGGTTGACTAAGGATATATTTTTTCAGCCACAAGGGGTGTCTGGGGTCCTATATTTAAGAGAAAAACTTGGGATTTTTTTAATATAGGGGATAGGGGATTTACCTATTATTTTGTAGCCAGAATACCCTCATTGGGATGTTTGTTGACAGATATTTACCAATGGGTTTGACCCATGTGTAGTATATGCATTGATGTGTGCACTATTTCCTAATTGGGCCATTTCCTAATTGGGAAAAGTGTTACACTTTTTTCTGCCACACCTGATGTCAGGCACAGTGTGCATTTGGGTTGGGAACTGTTTCCCACACTTTTTGGGCCAGAAGAGTTAATGGCTAGCATGGTGTGGTCATTGTTAATGATGATGTGCGCACTATTTCCTAATTGGGACATTTCCTAATTAAGAAAAGCGTTACACTTTTTTCTGACACACCTGATGTCAGGCACAGTGCGCATTTGGGTGGGGAATTATTTCCCATGCTTTTTGGGCCAGAAAAGTTAATGGCTAACATGGTGTGGTCATTGTTAATGATGATGTGCGCACTATTTCCTAATTGGGACATTTCCTAATTAAGAAAAGCGTTACACTTTTTTCTGACACACCTGATGTCAGGCACAGTGCGCATTTGGGTGGGGAATTATTTCCCATGCTTTTTGGGCCAGAAAAGTTAATGGCTAACATGGTGTGGTCATTGTTAATGATGATGTGCGCACTATTTCCTAATTGGGAAATTCATTACATAATATCAGTTTGTAGTGTCTGCTTTTTTCATTACAACACTTTGTAATCTCTGCTATATTCATTAGAAAATTGTGTAGTGTCTGCTTTTTTTTATTACAACACTTTGTAGTCTCTGCTTTATTCATTAGAAAATTGTGTAGTGTCTGCTTTTTTTATTACAACACTTTGTAGTGTTCGCTTTATTCATTAGAAAATTGTGTAGTGTCCGCTTTTTTCATTACAATTCCGCTTTTTTCATTAGAAAACTCTGCAGTATTCGCTTTTTTCATTAGAAATGTGTGCAGTGTCTGCTTTTTTCATCAGAAAACTTTGTGGTCTGCCTTTCTGATATATTGTCACTCCAGTAAAACAGCTCTTCATCATCTGGAATTCATACACCAGTTGTGTTTTGACTGAGCATCAAGTGTCCTAACTTTCCCCTTGAACAGCATCTGACAGTAGCCCCAACAGCTGGCAAATCAATCACTGAGATCTTCTTGAAGGAGATCATGTTGAGGTTGGGTATGGTCAGACAAAGATGGACAGAGATGACTCCCCAGGGAGATGCAATGAATGTTGGACAACATGACTGAAGCTGGCCAAGGGAACAATTAGAACACTTGATGGTCAGTCAAAACACAATTTGTATATGGATTCTAAATGATGAAGAGGTCTTTGGCTGGAGTCAGTTTCTCTGAAACATTAAGCTATATTTCCAGGAAGCTGCAAGATATCAGAAAGGCAAACCACAAAGTTTGGTAATGAAAGAATTGGACACTGCACACATTTCTAATGAAAAAAGCGGACACTAGACAATTGTGTAATGAGTAAAGCAGACACTACATAGTGTTGTAATGAAAAAAGCGAACACTACACAATTTTGTAATGCATAAAGTGGACACTACCCAGATTTCTAATGAAAAAGCGGACACTGCACAGTTTTCTAATGAAAAAAGCAGACACTGCACACATTTGTAATGAAAAAAGCGGAAACTACACAATTTTGTAATGAATAAAGTGGACATTTGTAATGAAAAAAGCGGACACTACACACTTTTCTAATGAATAAAGCGGACACTACAAAGTGTTGTAATGGATAAAGCGGACACTACACAATTTTCTAATGAATAAAGCGGACACTACACAATTTTCTAATGAATAAAGCAGACACTACACAATTTTCTAATGAACAAAGCGGACACTACAAAGTTTTTTATGAAAAAAGCGGACACTACACAATTTTCTAATGAATAAAGCGAACACTACAAAGTGTTGTAATAAAAAAAAGCAGACACTACACAGTTTTCTAATGAAAAAAGCGGACACTACAAAGTGTTGTAATGAAAACAGCAGACACTACAAAGTGTTGTGATGAATAAAGCAGACACTACAAACCAAACTGATATTATGTAATGACTTTCCCAATTGGGAAATATGTGGACATTGTCATTAACAATGACAACACCCTGCTAGCCATTAACTCTTCTGGCCCAAAAAGCATGGGAAACAGTTCCCAACCTAAATGCGCACTGTGCCTGACATCAGGTCTGTCAGAAAAAAGTGCAACGCTTTTCCCAATTAGGAAGTCACCCAATTAGGAAATAGTGTGCACATCATCATTAACAATGACCACACCATGCTAGCCATTAACTCTTCTGGCCCAAAAAACATGGGAAACAGTTCCCAACCCAAATGTGCACTGTGCCTGACATCAGGTGTGGCAGAAAAAAGTGTAACACTTTTCCCAATTAGGAAATGGCCCAATTAGGAAATAGTGCACACATCAATGCATATACTACACATGGGTCAAACCCATTGGTAAATATCTGTCAACAAACATCCCAATGAGGGTATTCTGGCTACAAAATAATAGGTAAATCCCCTATCCCCTATATTAAAAAAATCCCAAGTTTTTCTCTTAAATATAGGACCCCAGACACCCCTTGTGGCTGAAAAAATATATCCTTAGTCAACCATAGCTGCAAAATATATCCCAAGTCCATCCCAGACAAGAAATATATTTCTACATTGTGACAGTCACAATTCAGGGTCCAGGCATAAGAAATATATTTGGAGTCCATTCCAGTGAGGAAATATATTTTGGGGTGTGTGACACACTAGAAATATATTTAGTGTGACATTGGACAACAAAATATATTTAGGTAAAAGTGGAGATATACAAGCCCAGAATATATACAATATAGATATACACCCTGACATTTAGTCCTGTAGTATTCATGGAGTTTGCAAGACTAATAGTCAGTTGTCAGTAGGTGACTGAAGTGCTCAGGACTCCAAAGATGAAGATGCTGAGGAATACTTGGACAAATTTATGGGCTCAGCTTTGTTTCGTATACCTTCAGTAGCATCATTGACGAAGGAAGGTGCGCCACTACCTACTTTGACTGATCAGTCTACTCTTCCAGGAATCCTGGACTCCTTTCAACGAACTGACAATAGGCTCCACTATGAAGATATAGATCCCCAGACTTGCGTTACATGTGCGACTCATACGTACGGAGTGAAGGACCAAGACTCTGCTGAGATGTGGGGAGAAATCATCACTTACCTCAAAACGGACACTTTGCCTGTTTGCTGTCAAGACCCTGTTCAAAGAAAGGCCTTCATCCATTGAACCAAAGGCCTTTTCTTGCATAATGGAGATTGACTTTGGAAGATTGAACCAGAAGGAAGGTTGCCTCAACTCGTGGTAATGGACATTGACAGGTCCATAACAGTGTCGGACATCGTGGACGAGACCCGACCTACAAAACACTTTAGGAACACTTCTATTGGCTGAATATGTATGACCAGATAGCCTACTTTGTTTGATCATGCAACGTCTGTCAGCTCCGCTCGAAGGCTCGTCCAGTTGTGGCTTTTAGTCCAACCTGGAATTCGGGGATTTTGCGACGCTTCGACCTGGATACTATCCACATGCCAGACAGCATTGGTGGGATGAAATATTTACTTCAAGTGACGGACCCAGTGATGTCATGGGTGGAAGCCCGTGCAGCTCGCAAACCAAACTCTGAAACTTGGGCAAAATTTCTGTACAAGGAAGTATACTCTCACTTTGGCTGTGTTCTTCTCTGTCTTGTTGATGGTGGTTTGGAATTTAAAGGCGCAGTTGACATTTTGTTCAAGCAGTATGGTATCGTTGTCATTGTTTCTTCACCCTACCATCCTGAAGGAAATGGTCATGCTGAACGTTCACATCAGACGCTTGTCAATTCCATCCTTCGCACTTGTGGCAAGGATACGCATCGTTGGCCACTTTATCTCCATGCAGGACTCTGGGCTATGCGATGTTCGACTTCTCGAGTCACCAGTTACACCCCTTATTTTTTACTTTACGGCTTACACCCCCTTTTCTCTTTTGATATCGCAGATAGGACTTGGGAAGCACCCGACTGGCACACCGTAGCGTCAACCAAAGATCTTCTTGCTATGCGTATGCAACAGATACTTTGTTGAGACAAGAAGCTGGTACTAGCCATGGAGCAACAGAAACGTGTACACCAGCGGGTGGTAGATGACTTTAACAGTAAGCATGAACATCAACTTTCTTCAGGTGACTTCCTTCTAGGGACT